AGACTAGAGTGCAGTGGTCACTCCCGGCCACTGCAGCCTTGACCTGCTGGGCTCTGGCGATCCTTCCACCTCAGCCTTCTAGTAGCTGGAACTACAGGCGTGCACTACCACGTTTGTCTAATTTTTGATTTATTGTAGAGATGAGGTCTCGCCAAGTTGCCCAGGCATAACAGCAGATTTCTTAGCAGAAACCTTATGGTCCAGGAAATAATGGGATAATATATCCAAAGTGACAGTATATCTCTCACTAAGTACAAACAGCCAAATCAAGATGGATTAAAGATTTAAACAAAAGATTTGAAACTATGAAACTACTAGAAGAAAATATAAGAGAATAATTTCAGGAGATTAAGCAAAGATTTTGTGGCTATGACCTCAAAAGTAGAGGCAACAAAACCAAAAATGAACAAACTGGATTATGTCAAGTTAAAAAGTGAAAGAAGCAATCAACAAAGTGAAAGACAACTTGTTGAATGGGAGAAAATATTTGCAAACTATTCATCTTACAAGGGACTAATTATACAGCACATATAAAGAACTCAACACCACAGTAAGAAAACAGTTCCTTTAAAAATGGTCAAAGGACATGAATAGACATTTCTCAAAAGAAGACATATAAATGGCCACCAAGTATTTGAGAAAATGCACAATATCATTATCAGGGAAATGTAAATTAAAACCATAATGAAATATCATTGTACGCTAGTTAGAAAGGCTATTATTATTATTATTATTATTATTATTATTATTATTGAGTTGGAGTCTCACTCCATTGCCCAGATTGGAGTGTAGTGGCACGCTCATGGTCACCCCAGTGTTGCCCTGCTGGACTCAGGTGATCCTTCTGCCTCAGCCTTCTGAGTAGTGGGAACTACAGGCTCATGCTATCATGCCTGGCTAATTTTTTTGATTTATTGTAGAGATGAGGTCTCACCAACTTGCCCAGGCTGGTCTTGAAACCGTGGACTCAGGCAATCCACTCACCTAGGCCTCCCAAAGTGCTGAGATTACAAGCTGAGCCACCAAGTCCGGCCAGAAGGGCTATTTTTTTTTTCTTAAATGAATGCTGGCGAGGATGGGGAGAGAAGGAAACACTTATACACTATTGGTAAGAATGTAAATTAGTTTGGTAAGAATGTAAATTAGTATAGCCACTGTGGATAACAGTAGAGAGATTTTCCCAAAACCAAAAAATAGAACAACCATACAATCCATCAATTCCGCTAGTGGGTATTTGTTCAAAGAAAAGGAAGTTAGTCTATCAAAGAGACACCAGTACCCTCATGTTTATTTTTTATTTTTAAATTTTTTATTTTAAAGATGTGGGGTACAATTCAGGGTTAGGTATACAAATGTTCATTATACATCTTTTTTGACAAGGTGTACCTTTCCTTTTCCCTCCCCTGGAAGTTTCCCAATACTGCCAATCTTGCCCCCCTTCCCCTGACAGTTTCCCACTACGCCAATCCCTTTCTTATAGTATTAATAATTGTTCAAGGTCCATTTATGAGTGAGAACATGTGGTATTCAGTTCTTTGTTTATGTGATAGATCACTCGGTATTATAGACTCTAAGTCCATCCAAGTTGCTGTGAAGTTCATAATTTTGTCCTTCTTTATGGCTGCATAATATTCCATCGTGAATATGGACCACATTTTTTAAATCCAGTCCTCTTTCAGTAGGCGGCATGGTTGTTTCCATGTTTTTGCTATTGTGAACAATGCTGCAATAAGCATACGTGTGCTGGTATCTTTTTCATAGAGTGATTTGAGTTCCTCTGGGTATATTCCCAGTAGAAAGATGGCAGGGTCACATGGAAGTCGATTTTTAGATCTTTTATGAATTGCCAAACTATCTTCCACAGAGGTTGTATAGTTTGCACTCCCACAAACAGCATAGAAGTGTTCCCTTTTCCCCCGCATCCTCTCCAGCATCTGTTGTTTTTTGAGTTATTGATGATGGTCATCCTGGCTGGAGTTAGGTGGTATTGCATTGTGGTTTTGGTTTGCATTTCTTTGATGACTAGTGTGACTGAGCATTTTTTCATGTATCTGTTGGCTGCTTATATGTCTTCTTTTGAGAAGTGTCTATTCATATCTTTTGCCCCCTTTGTAATGGGGCTGTTTGTTTTTTTCTTTTCAGCATGTTTGAGTTCCTTGTAGATCCTAGATGTTAGGTCTTTGTCAGATAAACAGTTGGCAAATATTTTTTCCCTGTCTGTGGGCTGTCTCCTCGCTCTTTTGATGGTTTCTTTGGCTTTGCCGAAGATTGTCAGTTTGATGAGGTCCCACTCTTATTTTTTACGGCATGGGCACTTGGGGGTTTTCTTATGTCGGAGTCAATTACCTTGGTTGTTATTGGTCTATTTATATCCTCATATTTGTTGCAGCACTATTCACAAAAGCCAGGATATGGAATCAACCTAAGTGTCTATTATTGGATGAATAGATAAATAATAGCTGATAGCAGAGTAGGATAACCATAATTAACACAATGTTTTGCATTTTTAAAAATAGGTAGAAAGAGAACTTGAAATGTTTCAACACATAGAAATGACAAATACCTGAGATAATGGATAACCTTAATATCCTAGTTGGATCATTATACATTATATAATAATATATGGAACAAAATATCACATGTACCCTATAAATATGTACAAATATTATGTATCAATAAAAATTCATATCCTACCAGACTCGGTGGCTCAGCCGTAACCCCAGCACTTTGGGAGGTTGAGGCGAGTGGATTGCCTGAACCCGCGAGTTTCAGACCCACCTGGGCAACTCGGCAAGACCTCATCTCTACATTAAATCAAAAAGGCTGAGGCAGAAGGATCGCGGAGCCCAGCAGGTCGAGGCTGCAGTGGCCGAGAGCCTACCATTGCACTCCAGTCTGGGTGACAGAGTGAGACTCCAACTCACACACACACACACACACACACACACACACACACACACAACTCATATCCTGGCCATTTTGAAGACAAGTGATTATTGAAATGAATAATACTTAACTCCAGGGGCTGAATCATTCCAATGTGTAGTTGAGCTTGGTCTTTTGTTGTAGCTTTACTTGATTCAGTGCACCACAGACTTCAGATATTTTTTAGTGTGTGGGATTAGGCTTTTCTAGTCAGAAGGGCCTAGGGTCTCAGCATTGGTGATGTTCTGGAAAGATCTTTTTGTTTTATAACCGTGCTGCTAACTTTTCAAACTGTGGAAGATTCTGAATTACAATCTTTCTGGAATAAGAGTCCTAAAGAAGTTTGCTTTGCACTTCTATCCTGGCTTTCAGAGCCTAGGGAAATTTCTCTCTGCTCTGCTCCTCTGCCTCTATCCTTTGGAGGGCGGCTACCTTTATATGAAGGCTTGCAATGCCTCAGATTTCTCTCAGCTTGCATCTTTGCTCAGTCTTTTTTTTTTTTTTTTTAGAGACGAGATCTCTCACCATGTTGCCCAGGCTGCTCTCAAAACTGTGGGGTTAGGCGATCCTCTCACCTTGGCCTCCCAAAGTGCTGAGATTACAGGCTTGAGCCACCGCACCTGGCCTTGCTCTCAGTTTTTGATGTACTATCACTGAGTGCATGATGAAGTCCTATGGAAAACTGACAGATAGAGAAAGACTTAATTTGAGACTAGAGTTTCTTGGAATTCTAATCTATCAAACCAGCCCACATATATACATTAAAAATACATTAAAATTTCTGTCAATTTCTCCTTTTTATCTATGGGGTTTCTGTTTTGCTGCTTTACCATAATTGAAAATCAGCATGCAGGAGAGAAAATTTCCTGTTTCCTGTGAGTAGCTTAGCACTTTCTGGAGTTCAATTCATTTAGATTCTTTGTACTCTAAGCAATCTAGTGAATTAAAAACAAAACAAAATTGATTTTGTGGCTTATGCAGATAATTTTGGTTGTTAGATTGAGAACAGTGGTTACCTCTGTGACTTTTGTCACACTACCCAAAAGGAGAAAGGCTTTTTTTAATTTTTAAGGGGTTATAAAAAGCTCAGCAAGGCTTTTGTGTACCTGAAGAGCTTGTTAGTTTCCATTTTGCTTTATTTTTGATTTTCATGTTTTCATTTTTTTTTTTTTTGAGTTGGAGTCTCACTCTGTCGCCCAGGCTGGAGTGCAGTGGCATGCTCATGACCACCGCATCCTTGACCTGCTGGGCTTAAGCAATCCTTCCATCACAGCCTTCCAAGTAGCTGGAACTACAGGTATGAGCCACCACCTGGCTAATCTTTTTGGTGATTTATTGTAGAGGATGAGGTCACACCAGGCTGGTCTCAAACCCCAGGCTCAGGCAATCCTCTCACCTCGGCTTCTCAAAGTGCTGGGATTATAGTAGTTTTACCTTAGATTGGGGAAAGCCTAAGTACAAAGCTATGGATATTTTTTTCTCTAAGGAGCAATAAACATTCCAGCCTTTTTATTATTTCTAAATATTTTATTCTCGTTCTTTTGAGAAGATTCCTCTATTTGTGTGTGTGTGTGTGTGTGTGTGTGTGTGTGTGTGTGTGTGTGTGTGTGTGTTGAGAGAGAGATCTATTGGAGGTAAACTCTTAGATGCGAGTCATTCTGCTTGCAGGACTTGAGGAGGGGATTAATAGTGAAGTCAAATTTTCCATTTATATAGATGTTCAATAAATCACTTTGTTTCCACCCAACATTTCATTCCCATCCCCCATTGTACCTGGTAGTTCATAAAACATATAACAGATTGTTTTATGTGCTTTGATGTATTGATACCATATTTATTTTGGTTGCATCTTCCTCAGACCTGGTTTGTTATTATTATAAAACTTATTGGTTTGCTGTCTGTCTTCTAGAAATTTATTGAACGTGCTCAGATGTCTTGTACTAGAAGGTCATATCAGAATATTTGCTAAATAACTGGAGATTTAGAACTGAAGTTGTCAGAAAGCTGATTGAATTCACCTTACATTAACCTTATCGCCACATTATTTCATTTCTCTTTGTTTCTTTCTATTTTGAGGTTTTGCTGAAGGTACTCCTGAAGCATCATCCAAAGTCCACACAGCAAAAATGATCCAGTTACAAGCTGCTCCTATGATTGCACTTGTTGATGAGCCAGTGTATATCTGGGCTACAGGTCTGACTCCCTTTCAGGTGGTGAGTTTTCAGGCATCACTGAAAGATGAAAATGGGAACATGTTTCATTCTCGAGCCTATTATAGGGCCAATGAAGCTGGTATGGTGGACCTGGAGCATGCTTCTGCACTTGGAGGTGATTATGTGGGAGTCCACCCCATGGGTCTCTTCTGGTCCCTGAAACCTGAAAAGCTATTAACTAGACTGATAAAAAGAGATGTGATGAATAGCTCCTTCAAAGTCCAGTTGAAACTTTATGACTCAGTATTACCACTAGAAAAAAAAGCTTCCTGTGCTCCAAAGGCCAGCCTGACTTTGGAGAGATGGTATGTAGCAGCTGGTGTCACACGGATTCAGGTCCAAGAAGGCCGCCTTCGAGGAGCCCTCTTTCTTCCACCAGGTGAGTAGAATTACTCTGGTTATTGTTATTAGTATTCTTGATTTTCCTCATGTGAATGTGTTATTCCTCTAGATATTAAGATTGAATATAGATAATACTATACAGAGCACTCTTTTCCTGCCTTGGAATCAGTGTTGGCCGGGCTCAGTGGTTCAGCCCGGAATCCCAGCTACTTTGGGAGGCCGAGGCAAGTGGATTGCCTGAGCAAGTGGATCGTGGGTTCGAGACTAGCCTGGGCAACTTGGTGAGACCTCTCTTTACAATAAATCAAAAATTAGCCAGGCTGGTAGCACATGCCAGTGGTTCCAGCTACTTGAAAGACTAAGGTGGAAGGATCACCTGAGCCCAGCAGGTAGTAGCTGCAGTGGCTGTGAGCATGCCACTGCACTCTAGCCTGGGTGACAGAGTGAGACTCCAACTCAAAAAAAAAAAAAAAAAAAATAGTCCACTTGAACTGAGATGGGTCAAGAAACCCTAAAATGTGACAGGTGGTTTCTGATAACATAGAGTTATAGATGGTGTAGAAGGAATGAAAGCATTCCTTTCCAAATTTATCATGACACATACACTTAATCAGATATATTTGATTTTTTTGTTACACCCAGTAAATACACCACTTTATTGTGTGTAGGGGCTAAAAAGTAAATGGCACAACCTGCTGTACCTTTATTATCCCATCCAGTTAAAAAATCTGCCTATTGGTGCAGGCCTTCCACCTTGGGCTGATGTGCTCTGGCTATCCCTACTTTTCACCATATGTTAGGGTATGAATTTGTGAACCTGCTTGGCCACTGCATGTGCTGGATCTCCTGCCTCAGATGTGTTTTTCTGTAGCGGAAGAAAAAAGTGTTGAGTTGTGTGGAATCATAAAAAATTTGAATCAGATTCCAAAATATTTCTCAACTACATTTTTCCAACATAAGAGGGTCAGTACTTTTAAATGTTCCCCCTACTCCTGTCAGTCAGAAGATCAAAAGCATCCTTATTCATTTACTCAGATAGTATTATAAAACCAATATATACCAACATCATTCTTTTTTTTTTTTTGAGTTGGAGTCTCACTCTGTCGCCCAAACTGGAGTGCAGTGGTCACTCCCGACCACTGCAGCCTCGACCTGCTGGGCTCCAGCGATCCTTCCGCCTCAGCCTTCTGAGTAGCTGGAACTACCCGCGCACACTACCACGCCCGGCTGATTTTTTGATTTATTGTAGAGATGTGGTCTCACCAAGTTCCCCAGGTGGGTCTCGAACCCACGGGCTCAGCTAATTCACTCACCTCAGCCTCCCAAGGTGCGGGATTACAGGCTGAGCCACCGAGCCCGGCGGATTTTGCTTTATTTTGGGAAAAAATGCTGCCTGCATAGAGAGTGCACATGGGGTAATACTCTAGCCATTCCTACTTTTTACCATGTGTTAAACTGCAGGGAATGAAGAGAGTGTTATTGAATGAAAGGGCTCATCAATTACATCTGCTTAAGCATAAGATTTTATCACTGTATAGTCAGGTGTGTGTAACAGACTAGTGTTAAGATAGGATTTTAGCTAACATAATCATTTCAAAAAAATTGTTGAACTATCTACTTCTTTGACAACCCAGTTAAATCTGTAGAACCTTTCATAAGTAAAATGCACAGATGAACAGATATACCATATTTTGCATACACTGTAGATTCCCTAAAGCCTATTTTTGTACCTCTTTATAGGTTAACAAGCCCTGCCCTAATTTCTATGGCTTTCTTTACACCAAGATATAAAAGTGGACTACCCTGATTTCCCATTCTCATTTGCTACAAAAAGTAAACATGTTAGTGAACATAGCTCCCAAACTTTTAGATATTGTGTTTTTGTTGTTGTTGTTTTAGTTGGTGTCTCATTCTGTTGCCCAGATTGGAGTGCAGTGGCACGCTCCCGACCACCCCAGCCTCAACCTGCTGGGCTCCAGCAATTCTTCTGCCTCAGCATTCCAAGTAGCTGGAACTATAGGTGTGCACTACCATGCCTGGCTAATTTTTGATTTATTGTAGAAACGAAGTCTTACCAAGTTGCCCAGGCTGGTCTCGAACCTGTGGGCTTAGGCAAACCTCTCGCCTTGGCCTCCCAAAGTGCTGGGATTACAGGCTAAGCCACTGAACCTGGCCTATTTTGTTTCATTATATATTTATTAGGCCTTAATTCCACTCCAGATATAAGGCTAAACATTTTGTGAGTGTATTTGAAAATGTATATATTAATTCCAAAATGTGTGATGCATTTCTAGTGTGCATTTTCATATTTTTATCTTTTCTTCACCTTTCCTTCATGTACAATTCTATCTTTTTTTGTTTTCTCTCTTTCAGGAGAGGGCCGTTTCCCGGGGGTAATTGATTTGTTTGGTATTACTGGTGGTCTGGCTGAATTTCGGGCCAGTCTCTTAGCCAGTCATGGCTTTGTTTCCTTGGCCTTGGCTTATTGTAACTATGAAGACCTGCCCCAACAGCTAGAAACGATAGATCTGGAGTATTTCGAGGAAGCGGCTGACTTTCTCCTGAGACATCCTAAGGTAGAGTTTTGCTCTTCAGGTTTTGCTTTTTCAGATTTCAATCTTTATCTTTTTAAACAACTATGACATTCTGTGACTTCTCTTAACTTCCAAGTGTGTTAAATAAACTTGAAATTCTGTTCATTCCCATGTTATTCACATGACTTATTTCTCCTTCAGTGTCTTTTGCTCAGAAAGACAAAATGCTGAGGAAGTTAGCCTGTGTTCATCATAGTATTCAAAGGCATTCCTTTTGTATTCAGACCAACACGGCTTATATTTCTGGCTTCTTCCCTTCTGATTGAGTGGACTGTTGCAGGTTACTTAGTTCTGCTCATTCTCAGTTTCTTTATCTATTAAATAACATTGTAGTCATACTGCTTCATAAGGCTATTGTGAGAATTAAAAGGGATAACACATGCAAAATGTTTATCACAGCATCTGGAAACACTAAGCACTCAACAAAGATGAACAAATGTTAGATAAAATTTTCTATGATCTTTTGTATACTTCTGCTTTATCCAATTAGCTCTAATTATTAACTATCATTTTCTCATTACTATACTTAACCGGTCAGATAATTTGTATTTCTTTGAAAAATGGTCCGAATCTTTTGTTACTTGTGAGCTCTTAAAGTAATACTGTAGTACTTTCTAATCCACATACTTTTTTAAGTCTTAAAAAAAAGGTATTATGCTGCTATAATAGAGTTTGTGCTTTATTAGCCTTTGTTAATTGCCTGATTATAAAAAATAAATGAAATAAAATTAAATTTGTTCTACATGGTTTCTCATGTAAGGACCACCAAAATATAATCAGGATTGCAGTAAAAAGATTGGCAACAATTACTGAAAATCTACTGATGTATGGAAACTTTAAATGGCTATTTTTGATGCATATAATGGAACTGTCCTTAAACTATCAGATAGTCAATGTTGTCTTTGTGCTAGCTCTCTGCTTGGCTTAGATGAGAAGGGGAGGAGTTATGTGATTCTCCTTTTCATTTTCTTAGCCTTGTTTCCCTTATACTTGCTGCATTACTTTTCATCACTGTTTTTGCCAATGTTACATAGATAGCTAGTTAATGATTAAACCAGGCCTGAAGATCTGATTTCTTTCCTAGGTTCTGAGAACTTCCAGTATACCTATTTCATACTATCTCTTCTGCAGGATGCTAGAACATAAATCTTTCTTGTAGCTCTTATTTCTCTACCTGTTGATTTTAAGTGATTCCTAAGAATTTGAAATTCCCTGATTCCAATTTTTTTTCTTTATTTTATTTTATTTTATTTTTTGAGTTGGAGTCTCACTCTGTCGCCCAGACTGGAGTGCAGTGGCCGCTCCCAGCCACCGCAGCCTCGACCTGCTGTGCTCTGGCGATCTTTCCGCCTCAGCCTTCCAAGTAACTGGAACTACAGGCGCGCGCTACCACGCCTGGCTAGTTTTTTATTTATTGTAGAGACGATGTCTCGCCAAGTTGCCCGGGTGGGTCTTGAACTCATGGGCTCAGGCAATCCACTTGCCTCTGCCTCCCAAAGTGCTAGGATTACAGGCTGAGCTATCGAGCCCGGCCAAAACTTTTTCTTTATTTTAAAGATGTGGGGTACAATTCAGGGTTAGGTATACAAATGTTCATTATACAGGTACCCTTGTTGATGAGGTGTGCCCCTCCCTCCCCTGGCAGTTTCCCTCAACTGCCAACTGGTTCCAATTTTGGTGGTAGATGTTGTAACAAGAATTACTGTTCTTTAGGCCAGAAACATATGCAATAAAGTCTGCAGATATTTGAGTCACCCTTTTTTATTCATCTATGTTATTCTTGCGTTTGCTTTGTCGCCCATGGCCACATAAATTCTGAGTTCCCATTTCACCTTGCCATAGCTGTGATGCTCTATCTTTTTTATTAAGATATAGAATTTTGAGGGGTAGGGGGAAATGTTGATCAAAGTTTACAAAGTTTCAGTTAGATAAGAGGAATAAGTGCCAGTGGCACAGCATGGTGACTATACTTAGTAATAATGCATTGTATATTTCAAAATTGCTAAAAGAATAGATTTTAAGTGTTCTCATCACAAAGAACTGATGAGTTTGTGAGATGACAGATATGTTCATTAGCCTGATGTGCTTATTCCATGATGTATGCATATACCAAGACATCTCATGGTACTATACAAATATGTGTAATTATTATTTGTCAATTAAAACTTAAAGTTAGCTGGGCTCGGTGGCTCAACCTGTAATCCCACGCCTGTGGGAGGCTGAGGTGAGTGGATTGCATGAGCCCACGGGTTCGAGACCCGCCTGGGCAACTTGGCGAGACCTCATCTCTACAATAAATCAAAAATCAATTGGGCGTGGTAGCGCGCGCCTGTAATTCCGGCTACTCTGAAGGCTGAGGCGGAAGGATCGCCGGAGCCCAGTGGGTCAAGGTTGCGGTGGCCGGAAGTGGCCACTGCACTCCAGTCTGGGTGATAGAGTGAAACTCCAACTCAAAAAAAAACCCCAAAAAAACTTAAAATTAAAAAAATACAGAATTGTGGAGCTTGAAAGTTCCTTTCAATTGATTTAATGTGCATAATAGGAAATGGAGTGTATATGACTCGTTCCATTCGGTTTTTTTCCTCCTTATCTTAAAAATTTCTTACATTTCTGTCATCTTGGCACAAGTCTCATTTATGTTTTTCTAAATAGTTGAGGGAAAAAAAAATCCCAAGCATTAGTTAATAAAATGCCGTGAAAATATAAGAGCTCAATTAAGATAGGGGAAATCAGTTAAGGTTTTAGAAAAGAGATGTTTCTCTCTGAAGCTCTATCCTTGCAAGGAACCAATGCTCAAGAAAAGATCAGGGCTTTATTTTGTGGTACAAAGAACAATTATCTTTAACTCTCCTTTTTTGCACTCCCATACCAAATTGGTGACGGGGAGCTGTACATATGAACATAAATAACTCATGAACGTGTTATTTCCTTTTCATCCTCACTGAACACCATCATTTCCTGTCTATACCATTGCAATAAGCTCTGACTTTTCTGCCTCCATTTTTGCAAGTCAGAGTTGTAAGATTGGACTTTCTACAGCACAACTATTAATATTTTACTCACTTGCTTAAGAGTCTCCCTATTTGCTATGGGATAAAGGCAAGGCTTCCTAGCATGTTAGATAAGTCTACCTATGATGTGACTTCTGCATACTTCTTCAACCTTATCTTATTCCCATTCTTAAAATTTGTCCTAATTCTCCTCTTTAGATAGAAAAAGAGTCAAGGTTACATCACATGTCTTTCAAAGCTATTCACTGTAAGGTTGCCATTTTCTTTTTCAGTCTTATTTTGTCTTTTCCCACTTTATACTCCACATTCAAGTAACGAAGAACTACCTGTTTCCCTAAATGCTTTGCTCTTTGTTAACGTCTGAGTTTTTGTATGTGTTCCTTCTATGGTGAATCCATTGGGAATGTTTTGGCTACATTTCCCAGAAAGAAAAGCGGCTGATGGTGGCTTAAACATCAACATACAACATTTTATTCTCTCAAGTAACTGTTCTGGAGATGGATGGTTTAAACTTTGGTTCAGAAACTCTGATATTTTTGATCAAGGAAATTAGATTGATATTTCTGTAATTTTCTGGCCTTACCCTAAAGGTCTCAGTATGACTCTGACAGTTTCAGGCATTAAGTCGACATGCCAGCATCCTAACCTGGAACGAATGGTCTGAAACACAGGCTTTTTCTTCATGATTCTGTGTCATTTTACATGGGGAAAAGAAGTCCTTAGGTAGAATATGTTGGTCTTATCAGCAAGGCTGAAAAAGTATATAGGAAAGAGAAATAGATTCAGACCCATTAGAATTTATTCCTTGGAGCTGGATAAATTGTTACACCACACAAAATCAAGATCAGGTTAGACTTAAAATTGTGGAGAGTGACTCTTGTGTAGGCAACTAATGGTGTCTGCTATATTTAGCATAGAATACCATTCCTTCTTGTTGGTTTTCATTTTTTGATATGATACAACATGATATGAAGACTCGTTTCGTAGCCCATTTCCTCTGAGAGTCTTTCTTTGATCTTGCCTTTATTCCCTGCTAATCTGAGGGAGTCTTGTCTATGTGCATTCTTATTTCGTAGAATTTATGATACTATAATCATTCGTTGTGTGTGTTATTTTTCCCTCCTGTCTCTTCATCTGGCAGTGAGTTCTTTAATAACGAGAGATTGTGTCTTTCCTCCTTGTATCCCCCAGTGCTTGACACAGGATAGATTATCTAAAATTCTTATTTTATGACTGACAATGAAAGAGGAAGCTGAGCCAGGCCTCCTTTATTTAATTTTTCTCCAAAAGGGGAAACATTTTGGAGAAACCAAAGTCAATCTAGAATTCTCTGTTTAAGTTCCCATGTTCTATCCTACTAATCTCACCTTCTTTTACAGTTTCTTCCCACACTGTTCCCTTTCCTCTGAACTTCTAGGGAACTCAGAATTGGTGCAACAAAGTTTGCCAATTAATTATTCCCTGACTTATATTATTCATAACAACCACATGCCATTTATTATTTTTCTTGCCACACTGGTCTTCCTTCCTTCCTTCCTTCCGTCCTTCCTTCCTTCCTTCTTTCCTTCCTTTCTTCCTTCCTTCCTTCCTTTTTCTTTCTTTCTTTTCTTTTCTTTTCTTTTTGAGTCAGAGTCTCATTCTGTTGCCCAGGTTGAAATGCAGTGGCATGCTCACAGTCACTGCAGCCTTGACCTGCTGGGCTCAAGTGATCCTTTCGCTTCTACCTTCTAAGCAACTGGAACTACAGGTATGTGCCGTCACGCCCAGCTAATTTTTTAATTTATTGTAGAGATGAGGTCCCGCCAAGTTTCCCAGGCTGATCTCGAACCCGTGGGCTCAGGCAGTCCTCTAGGAGCACCCAAAGTCCTGGGATCACAGGCATGAGCCACCACATTCGGCTAGTGTTTCTTTAGAGCATTTTAAACCCCAAACGAAATGCAATATTGAATCCATAGTATTCAGTCAGTAAAACCTGGCACATTTTTGAAGGAGTATTTCCACTGAATGCATATTACATATTCAAGAAGTCTAGACTGGGCGTGGCAGCTCATGCTTGTATTCCTTGAACTTTTTGCGAGTCCAAGGTGGGATAATTGCTTGAGCCCAGGAGTTCAAAACCATCTTGGGCCACATAGCAAGACCTTGCCTTTACAAAAAATAAAAAAATTAACTGGGTGTGGTGGTGTGTACTTGTAGTCCTAGTCACTTGGGAGGCTGAGGTAGGAGAATCTCTTGAGCCCAGGAGTTTAAAGTGTGCCGTGATCACACAGCCTGGATGAAAGTGAGACCCTGACTCAAACAAACAAACAAACAAACACAAAAAACAAACAAAAACTCTAGTTAGAGCTGGATATGTGGGTGGGATGAATACTTTCTTTGTTCTTATTGGTCACTAAAATTCTTTGGTTGTTTGAGATTGTATAGTTTTTTTCAATGAAGGACTGAATAAAATCTTATTTCTGTTATTTTTTTCAGGTCATTGGTCCAGGCATTGGGGTAGTTTCTGTATGCAGAGGAGCAGAAATTGGACTTTCTATGGCTATTCACCTAAAACAAGTCACAGCCACTGTACTTATTAATGGGCCCAACTTTGTTTTTGATACTCCACATGTATATCACGATCAGATCTATCGGCCCCTCTTTTGCTCTGCACAATTAGTGTCTATCAATGCCTTTGGATTAGCAGAGCTCTATCACATTTTTGAGGAAGCTCGAGTTGAAGACAGTCAGTCTCTTTTTCCCATTGAAAAGGCCCAGGGACATTTCCTCTTTATTGTGGGAGAAGACGATAAGAATATCAACAGCAAAGCATATGCTGAACAAGCCACAGCACAGTTGAGAAGTCATGGGAAGAACAACTGGACCCTGCTGTCTTACCCTGGGGCAGGCCACCTGATAGAGCCTCCCTATTCTCCACTCTGCTGTGCCTCAAGTCTCTACAATGTGTACATAAATGTACACTGGGGAGGAGAGGTGATTCCACATGCAGCTGCCCAGGAACACTCTTGGAAGGAGATCCAAAAATTTCTCAGGAAGCACCTCATCCCAACTGTGACCAGTCAGCTCTGAGAAGACTAGATATTCCTAGAGAAGGAAATCTCTTTACCAGCTCCATCTCTTGATTTTCATGGAGCAATGCCTTTTACCCCCATATTTTGTGTTAATTTTAATGATCAAAATAGGGTAAAAACCTGATATTTCACTTAATTGTGCAAAAGTTAGATGAACTGAATGAGGGGCAAATCATAAATCATTTTACTTATAATTTCTTGGCTTTTCGTCCCATTAGGTCTTTCAAATAGGACAAAGGTATAGTATACTGACAAAAATTGAAAGAGGCAAGCAAGAATAGTGACAAAAATTGAAAGAGGCAAGCAAGAATAGTGACAAAGTAACAGATACTCTAAACTGAATACCATGTCAGAAAACATCATATAATAACCATTTGTCAGATTAGAAACATCACAAAAAGTTACTTCTAAGTCATAATTATTTTAGTTATGGGAACTTCACAACTCCATTCTTCATTTGTGAAGTAGTAAAATTCATGTCAAAAAGGAAAGGAGGAATGGAGGAAGTCAATTAGTTCATTCCAACAAATTACTTCTCCAGTTCTTAAAAGCATGCCCATCAGCACAAAATTGAAAATAACTAAGACTAGAAGAGACTTGCTTTAAGTTATGAAACAAAATACAATTGAAAATACAACAAAATAAGATGAGTGGGGTGACAAAATCCCTCACTGAAAATCTGTACTAACAAATTAAATTAATAATTTATTTTAAAAAGTAAAACTAGAAACAACATTCTACTGGTACAGACTAGCCCGAGTGATTTGATGAACAGAGTGGTTGGTCAATTGTCACTGTACTTTCATAAATAGATTTTCTTCATTCATGTTAAAGTAGCACATGAACATAAGCTCTATAAGAACAGGTACTTTATTTTCATAGGACCTAAATAGTTACAGTATATCCTATAAATAAAAAATATTTTACTTTGGTAACTGAATATGTGAGTACTTTTGGTATGTGAATACTTTGGTAACTGAATCTAATTCAACCAAATGGTTGCCTGCTATATAGTCCTGTGCAAATATAAAATTTTGTTATAAGGCTTTGATCCTACAGTTTTCACGGTAACAAAACTACCAACTAGCATGTACTATGTATTGCAAGACTTTAAGTTCAACAATCCAAGTTGTTGATTCATATTATGACCCAATGAAGCATCCTTGAGGAGTACAGTAGGTCAGTTAAATATCTAGAGACACACAAACATCTCCTGATTTATCCCATCAAGATAGATTATTCTGAGCTTGTCATCAATCTTATCTTCATCAGCTTCTTCTATTTCATTCTCCTCATGTCCTTCAACCCGAGGAAATTCCGTATTCTGTCCCTATCTACACCTTGCCCTTCCATCTATTTGTACAATCTACACAAACACCAGAGCATTGAGATCCATGCCTTATTTCAACACTGGATGCTAACATGAAAATCTTTTTTTATTACTTATAATTATTTTATTTTAAACATGTGGGGTACAAATGAGGGTTGGGTAATCACACAGGTAAAGTGTGGGCAAACTTATTCATGTGAAAATCTTATATAGCAATATATTTGGTTTTTTTTTTTTTTTTTGAGTTGGAGTCTCACTCTGTCGCCCAGACTGGAGTGCAGTGGCCGCTCCTGGCCACCGCAGCCTCGGCCTGCTGGGCTCCAGCGATCCTTCCGCCTCAGCCTTCCGAGTAGCCAGAATTACAGGCATGCGCCACCACGCCTGGCTGATTTTTTTATTTATTGTAGAGATGAGGTCTCGCTGCCCAGGTGGGTCTCGAACCTGCGGGCTCAGGCAATTCACTCACCTCAGCCTCCCAAAGGCGCAGGATTACAGGCTGAGCCACCGAGCTTTTTCTTTTCTTTCTTTTTTTTTTTTGAGAAAGCAGGAAATTTATTGAGAGGATAGTGGGAGGGGACCTGAAGGGTTTACCCTTTTTAATCCTTTTTATGCACCGAATAATGTCTTTTTACACGTTCTCTTCAAGTAAACATCTTTCTGCAAATAATGCAGCTTAGAGATCTCAATCACATGTGAATGAGCAAGTGCCTTTTTGGTGTTTATCTGTATCTGGCATTTTAACTTGTTCATGATTAGAGACAATTCACTGTTTTCCCAAATTTCTTGTTTTTGTCAATAACCCATACATGAATCCATTTGAAGTATCAAAATTGCTTAAAAGGCCAGGCATCAAACCATACTTGAAATCATGTGAGGTACCAGTATCGCCTCCATCTTGATAAAAGAGAAAGTTTCAGTCAATATATTTGCATTCATGTTCTTATCACCATCTGGCCCTGAGAGTAGAGCACCATTCACATTTGGTTCTTCTTTAATGAGCAGTGTATTTTTCTCCAGATTGGCAATAGGTGGCTGGATCACTGAACAATCTTCTAAATTTGTTTTATTATTAAGTGTTATTTTTTGTTATAAATAATTCTCCTTGTTTTGCTAGTTTTTTTGAATTCCCTAGGAACACATAACAAACACTTTTGTTTGGTTTTTGGATTCATTCTCAGCCATTTTGGGAAATCCATCCTGGGTCCAGCTACTGTCACTCATTTGATTGTTTTCTATTTGGTCCTCATTGGCATTTCAACCATCATTTTCAATTTTTATATTATTTGCCAAATTGGCTAGATTCTGTGTTGCCCCAAAACTGGCAAAGTTTTGATCCCATGGTGAAGACAATGGTTTTGCATTATCTTTTAACTGGTTTTGCATTATCTTTTCTTTTTTTGAGTAGGAGTTTCACTCTGTCTCCCAGGCTAGAGTGCAGAGTCACGCTCATGGCCACCGCAGCCTTGACCCGCTGGTCTCAGGCTATCCTTCTGCCTCAGCCTTCCAAGTAACTGAAATCACAGGCATGTGTCACCACGCCTGGCTAATTTTTTGATTTATTATAGAGATGAGGACTTGCCAAGTTGTCCAGGCTGGTCTCAAACCCTTGGGTTCAGGCTATCCTCCTGCCTCTGCCTCCCAAAGTACTGGGATTATAGGCGTGAACCACCATGCACAGCCAGTTGTGTGTTATTAGAGTTTACAACTGCAGACTCTGGAGCTTCTGATTTAATGCTTATATTTAAGGCATTTCTAATGAAATTTCAGCACATTTGAATAACTTTGCTCATTTATAAAGACAGTTGTCCACTGTCACCACTTCAGTGGCATTTTGGCACCAGATTACCAGAACATAAGTCAAGGAGACTGAAAAACCTTAAAGTACAGCAATATCTAAATGGGTAGTATTATTTGGTAAGGACTTCTTTGTTTGAAAAGCAATATAAAGTCTTGAAGAAATGGCTGCCAGCATCCAGGATGTTCTTATGAGCTTTACAGTTATTCCCACTTACCACAATACTGACATCAAAAGAATACCTTTCTTTCTGTTCATTTATTTATTGCAAAAGTTAATAGCAGTAAGAGTTCTCATTTGTTCTACTATTAAAGTCACAGTACCCCTCTCCTAATGATATTTCTGACTCCTGGGTTTTAACTTCATGGAGTTTGTGCTCAGTATAGCCGTGGTGCAACAGGAAAAGGGTTTTCTTGTAGTCGTGGGTCCCTCAAGAAAGTTCATTATGCCCCACATGGAGAAGGTCTATGCCTCCCCCATCTACAAGAGTCTTTTGTCACAGTGAAGGAACGTCCTTGAGACATGAAGACCAAAGGGAACACTGTAGCTTTTGCACTAGAGACTTGTGCTACATGAGCAGGAAGTGCTGAACAGACTCTTCCTTTGCCAGCTCTCACATTGCTGCTCTTCATGGATGCATGTCTTAGCTCTCGTATTGTAAGAAGGAAGTTATAGCAAGAGAAGGGCAGAGAGACTGAGAATAGTAATGACTTAACTTTAAAAGGGAAAAATGGTTTCCACTTACTATCATACACTAAGAGTCTACAGAGTCCTGTATCTGTAGAAATAAACCTGCCCTAAAATAAGTGCAGTTTATAATCATAGCAAAACTGAAGGGAAGAAAATTATCAACAGTGAAAAACAGAATGTCCTGGCTTATGAAACAGACATGAAAAGAACCAGGGGCGGACATCAGTTGATGTCTTAAAACGCAAAGTACATATGCCTTTATCTCTTATATATACAAATGATTATTTCATTGCTATTGGGAAACTAGAGCTGGAAAAAAGAATATATTACCTTAAGAATTATTATAGAATATATTTTTTAAATATGTGAGTTTACAATCAATTCAGTAAAAGCTAATAAAATTAAATACAATCATTTTTTCAATTATTTTTGTGTTTAAACATTTATGAAGAGGGACCCCCCCAAAAACCAGAATTATCTTTTTTTTTTTTGGAGGGCAGGCCAGGCCCTTCCACCTTTAAGTAAGTGTTCTAGGAACCCACTGGCATCAGTATACCAGGTAGCATTTTTGTGAAAGACTGCACTGTGGAAGAAGCATCCTGAATTGTGGCAAACAGGTGACTGGTTCTTCCACCATGACAATGCACCTATCAACACTGTGCTGAGTGTCCAGCAGTGTCATGAGTGTCGACATGACCCCTGTGTCCCACCCTCCCTATTCACTCAATCTCACCTCAAGTGACTTTTTTTTGTTTCCCTGGATGAAAAAAGTCCTCAAAGGGAAATGTTTTGCTGATGTGGAAGAGAACAAAAAGTGACAGAAGCACCAGACAGCATTAAAATCAACAAGTTCAAAAACTATTTTGAGCAGTGGAAAAAGTGTCTCGACAGGTGTATTGCATCAATAGAGAATACTTTGGAGGTGACTGAAGTTTAAGCATGTTGGAGTAAATACATGATTTTAAATAAATAAATTCCTTTTTTGGGAGATCCCCCGCGTATATAGCATTTTGGCATTCTCATCAATGAGAAAGGAGCAATCTGAGATTCACAGAATCACAACTATGGGACGTAGCCAGAATGATGGGAATCATGTACCTCTAGATGAGGAGGTGGCAAACTCCGTAAAGTATTAGGTAGTAAATATTTTTAGTTTTGCAGGCCATATGGTCTCTGTCATCTACTCAGCTCTGCCATGATAGCACAAAAGCATCCATGGCTAGTATGTAATGAATGATTGTGACTGTACTCCAATGAAACTTTATATAGATACTGAAATTTGCATTTCATCTAGTCCTTCTGACACAAAATAGCAATTTTCTTTTTATTATTATTTCCCCAAGCATTTAAAAATGTAAAAACCAGTGGAGGAATTGTCCCATAGGAACTATTCAGTCATGAACAGAAGCTGAAACTGAATGTCTGATTTTTAATTCAGAACTTTTATTGCTAATTTCTTATAGGGCTCCAGATATAGTGAATAGTAACAGAGGCCTTCATTATGGTAATAAACTTTTAATTTAATACTAGTTTTAGGTTTACAGAAAGTTGTGAAGATAGCATAGAGACTGGGTGATCCACAGCCAGTTTTCCCATTACTAACATCTTATGTTAGTATGACACATTCTCATAAATAAGTAACCATATTATGTATTGGAATATATTATTATTAACCAGAGTCCATACTTTATTTAGATTTCCTTGGTTTTTCTCTAATGCCCTTTTTCTGTCCCAGAATCCCACCCAGGATACCACGTTGTATTTAGTTGTCATATATTCTTAGTTCTTGACTGGGACAATTTATGATTAACTTTTAATTAAAGAGTCATTGAGGTACAACCTAGTCCCAGTAAAAATGGCCATCACTAATAACAAACAACAACAGATGCTGGCGAGGATGTGGAGAAAAAGGAACATTTCTATACTGCTGGTGGAAATGCAAACTAGTGCAACCTCTTTGGAAGACAGTGTGATGATTTCTGAAAGAACTAA